TCATCCAGCAGCTGCAAGTGGAGGAGTGGGGAATCAAACCCGGTTCTCCCAGATTAGAGTCCGCGCACTTAACCACTACACCAAACTGGCTCTCAGAGCAGAAGGGAAATGCTTGGGTGCATAAGATAAGCATCTGTAGGGAGATAAGTATCACATGCCCCTGTTAAGCCTTGGGAGGGGGGGTCCATTGTTTTGAACTTGTGAATGAACTCCAGTTTATTCTTGGAAGAGCTATTCTGGCTGCTTTCTCAGGTATGGAAGAGGAGGTTGCTCTCTTAGCTGCCTCCAGGGGAAAGGCCTTATCAGCTGTGGCCCCTACCCTGTGGAATGCACTCTCTGATGACACCCGTGCACTGCCCAACTTGTTTACTTTCTGCAGGCCATGCAAAGATGAATAATTTAGGTCGGCCTTCAAAGTGCAACCACATGTTTGGGCTGTTTTAATGGTGGTATGGTGATAGCCACATATTTTAATATTAATATTTAATATTTTTATTTTTTATGTTGTTTTTACCTTATTGGTTTTACCGTTGTAAGTCGCCACGAGACTCTTCAGCTGAGTGGCGACTAAAAAAAATCTAATCAATTAAATAAACACATATCTAAGTATTTGAAGAGCTGTCACTTCAAGGGAATGACGGAAGGTAAAAGAAGGGGACGACAAAGGATGAGATGGTTACACAGTGTCATCGATGCAACAAACATGAAGTTGAAAAGGCTCCAGAGGATGGTAGAAGACAGGAGGGCCTGGTGTGATGCGGTCCATGGGGTTGCAAAGAGTCGGACTCGACTGTGCGACTGAACAACAACACTTCAAGGAGGGCAGGGAGCTGATCCAGTTGGCAGCAGAGGAGAGGACTTGCAATAATGGTTTTAAATTAAGGGTGGGAAGGTACCGGCTGGATGTTAGGAAAAACGTTTTTACAGTAAGAGTTGTGCAACAGTGGAACCAGCTGCCAAGAGAAATGGTGAGCTCTCCCTCACTGACAGTGTTCAAGTAGCAGCTGGATGAACACTTGTGTCAGGAATGCTCTAGGCTGATCCTGCATTGAGCAGGGGGTGGGACCAGATGGCTTGTATGGCCACTTCCTACTCTATGATTCCAAGTCCCTGTATTCTCCCCTTTGTGTGCTACTACTGAAGCTGGCCAATTGCACAAGGATTTCTTTAGGACGTGTGCTGTTCGAACCCATTTTTTGTTGTTGTTGCACAGTTGAGTCCAGCTCTTTGCGACCCCATGGACCACATCATGCCAGGCCCTCCTGTCCTGTCCTCTGCTGCCCTCCAGAGTTTGCTCCACTTTCCCCTTCTATTTGCCAAGGAGTGATGGGGCTGGATGCCATGATCTTAGTTATTTATTATGTTGAGTTTCAAGCCAACGTTCGTGCTCCCCTCCTTCACCATGAGCAAGAGGCTCTTTAGGTCCTCTTTACTTTCTGCCATTAGAGTGGTATCATTTGCATATCTGAGGTTGTTGATGTTTTTCCCGGTGATCTTAATTCCGGCTTGTGATTCATCCAGGCCGGGATTTCGCATGATGTACTCTGCATATAAATTAAATAAGCAGGGTGACAATATACATCCTTGTCGTACTCCTTTTCCATGCTAAACCAATCAGTTGTTTCGTATCCGGTTCTAACTGTCGCTTCTTGACTGCTGCACAAAACGATCACTGTGGTGTCGTAGATGTTGCCAGATACCGAACGACCCTGAGCCACAGTGCGGGGTTGTCAGAAGTTGAACCTTCTCTCTCTCTCTCTCTCTCTCTCTCTCTCTTTCTTAGCTTTTCCCCTCCCACACAGTATTTATTTATATATTTATTTATAATTTCAACTTATAGCCCGCCCTCCCCGCAATGCAGGCTCAGGGCGGCTCACAAATAGGTATAAGCCAACACATAAAACAGTTAAAACCATAAAACCATTATTACAAAATTACAACATGTTAAGTGCTCTCGATGTTCTAAAACGAAGACTTTCATCAAGATGGCGTGTCGTAGATGGTATATCCACTCAGTGTTATCAGCTCCACGTGGCGCTGTCGTTTTCCTTTCCCAGGGCCAGTTAATAACGATGGTACGATAGTGGTGGCTCCTACCCAAAGGCCTGGCGGAAGAGCTCCGTCTTACAGGCCTGCGGAACTGCGCCAGGTCCCGCAGGGCCCGGATCTCCTCTGGGAGCTCGTTCCACCAGCAAGGAGCCGCCACTGGAAAAGCTCTGGCCCTGGTAGCGGCCAGCCTGGCCTCTTTGGGGCCTGGAATCTTCAGGAGATGTTCCGACCCCAACCATAGTGCTCGCAGGGGAACATGTGGGGAAAGGGGGTCCCTCAGGTATGTTGGACCCCGGCCATATAGGGCTTTAAAGGTAAGAACCAGCACTTTGAAGCGAATCCGGTATGCTATTGTATTTTGCAAAGGTATGGGAAAATGCTCTTCCTCCAGCCAGTAGTCACAGTAGACTACACTGCAGGCCTGTCCTAAGCCGTTCTTCTCTTGTGCCTCCCTCCTCTGGAGATACGAAGGTTGAACTGTCTACGCATCGATGGGGCAATTCTCAAAAGATACTGCGGAGGGCGTCATTGTTGCTTGCCAATCAATCAGTCTGGTTAAAATCCTGGAACGTGAGGGTAATAAGCCTAAACTACACGACAGCATTGTAAAGAAGGAAGCTCGACTAATGTACAATGCACAGATAGTAACTCTGGACTCTGGCCAACCCTCAACATTGGCACATGTCCTGTCTTGCAATGTGGAGGAAATGATATGAGACCGCATTTCTTCACTGTTTGCATAGGACGTGTTGGTTGGCCGTTAAAAAAAATCAAAACTCTTTTCTTGTGTTTCTCTGCATCAGACAACCTGTGAAAAGAGCTCAAATTCCACACATTTTGTGTTGCGTGTGGAAGAGTAGTCCATCCTGTAGTGTGAAGGTGTGCTGCGCCCCTTGTAAGCAGGGATGCCAAACCTCCAGGTAGCAACTGGAGTTCTCCCAGTATTATAACTGATCTCCAGACGAACAAGATCAGATCCCCTGGAGAAAATGGCTGCTTTGGAGGGGGGACTCTGTGGCATTATACCCTGCTGAGGTTCCTCCTCTCCCCAAACCCTGCCCTCCTGAGGCTCCACCCTCCAAATCGCCAGGTATTTTCCAACCCAGAGCTGGCAATCCTACTTTGAAGTCCATGTGGGCTTGTGGTTAGTGCTCTTGACTAGGATCTAGGAGAGCTGGGTTCGAGTCCCCCCACTTTGCCACTGAAGCTCTAGCCTGCCTCATGAGGTTGTTGTGGAGTGGATAAAAGGGGGAATACGAACAGGCTTTGGCAGTTGTGCAGACCTGTTGTTTAAACAGGGCAAAATACCAGGACTCAAATGTGATTGTGGTGCAGCCACCAAACTATTTCCCATTTGCCACAGGAATTAATGTTGCCAACCTCCAGGTGAAGGCTGGAGATCTCCTTGATGACAGATCAGTTCCCCTGGAGAAAACGGCTGCTTTGAAGGGTAGAATTTATGGTATTATACCCTGCTGAGGTCACTTCCAAGCTCAAACCTCATCCTCCCAAGGCTCTACCCCCAAATATCCAGGAATTTCCCAACATGGAGCTGGCAACCCTAGGAAGAACTGATCTCTGTACTTGGGCTATCCGTTGTGATTCCTGGAGAGCGACTGTTGCCACAGCTGCTGGGGGGGGGGGAGAAGTAGCTGGAATGCTGGGAAAGTGACAGGGGTAGAAAGAGTGATGTGGTGGGGGGCAAAAAGGAAGTAGGAATGGAGGGGAAAGAGAGTAAGAAAAGGGGTGGCATTTGTCTTGGTGGAATAAAACGCAATTAGAATCTATCTATAATAAAGATAAAAAGACTGGTTTTAATGACAAACTAACTGAACTAGAAAAAACTCTTGTAGTGTCGGAGGATAAACTGATAAAGAAAATCTATAAAATTTTGTTAGAGGATTTGCTGTTAGATGAAACAGTTAAGCAAAATATGATTCTGTGGGCTCAAAATGTAGGACGTAATATTACTTGGAGAGAGTGGGACCAGATATGGTCTAAAATATTAAAATGACTAACGCAGTATCATATAAAGAAAATATGTATAAGATGTTTTATAGATGGTATATTTCACCAGATAAGCTTGCTAAGCAGAATGAAAATTGTTCAGATAAATGTTGGAAATGTAAAAATAAGATAGGTACATTCTATCATATGTGGTGGCTTTGCGATGTAACAAAGAGATACTGGAGATGGATCCACGAGATGATGCAAGAGATATTGAGAATTAAAATACCATTTTTGCCGGAAATATTACTACTAAACATATTTCAAAAGGATTTTAATAAAGGTGATAGATATTTGATAGTACACCTTTCTACGGCAGCAAGAATATTATATGCAAAATTTTGGAAACAAATGGAAGCACCAAAGAAGCAAGAATATGTGAAAAAACTGTTGGAGACGGCTGAAAATGACAAATTGGCATCGTTGATGAGAGGGGCAACAGACCCAACATTTCAAAAGACGTGGAAAAAACTGTATGACTGGTACAATATAAATGCATAGTTTAAAGTAATGGAAATTTTGGTATTATCAATCTCGTATAGTTAATTAGAAACTATGGTAAAAAAAGTGGGGGGAGAAGGGAAAAAGCAGAAGTGGGGGAAATGGGATATATGATTCTGCAAGTTTCTTGTGGGTCCCCACTTAAAAAAACCTAAACAGCATACTCAAGATTGCTATAGCAGAGATGCTGACTCCGAATTTCGATCCAATAATTCAGAGCTGGATATGTCAGTTATTAAAGACAGTTAACTAAAGAAAATACTGTAAGGCTGCTTGTATTTTGAGTAAAAAATAATATCATTAATTGGATTACCCAGTGTCCTTTCTGAAGTTTATAACTCTGGTACCTGGCATTACAATTTATGGCACACATGGCCCAGCCTGACAAAGTGATATTTAAGTCCGATCTGGCCTTCATAACAAACAAATTCAACAACTCTGGGCTAAGCAGTCACATGATTTCTCCTTATGTGTGTTTTTAGATGTTGTTGAAGAGTGCTACTCCGACTGTATCTCTTCCCACACTCTGAGCATTCAAAGGGCTTCTCCCCTGTGTGGGTTCGTTGATGCTGTTGAAGAGTGCTATTGTGACTGAACCTCTTCTTACACTCTGAGCATTCAAAGGGCTTCTCCCCTGTGTGGATTCGTTGATGCTGTTGAAGAGTGCTACTCCGACTGTATCTCTTCCCACACTCTGAACATTCAAAGCGCTTCTCCCCTGTGTGGGTTCGTTGATGCTGTTGAAGAGTGCTATTGTGACTGAACCTCTTCTTACACTCTGAGCATTCAAAGGGCTTCTCCCTTGTGTGGGTTCTTAGATGCTGTCGAAGAGTGCTACTGTCACTGAATCTCTTCTCACACTCTGAGCATTCAAAAGGCTTCTCCCCTGTGTGGGTTCGTTGATGCTGCAGAACATGTCCACTACGACTGAATCTCTTCCCACACTCTGAGCATTCAAAGGGCTTCTCCCCTGTGTGGGTTCGTTGATGCTGCAGAACATGTCCACTACGACTGAATCTCTTCCCACACTCTGAGCATTCAAAGGGCTTCTCCCCTGTGTGGGTTCGTTGATGCTGCAGAACATGTCCACTACGACTGAATCTCTTCCCACACTCTGAGCATTCAAAGGGCTTCTCCCCTCTGTGGACCTTTTGGTGAAAATTGAGCTGTGATCTGTATCTGAAGTACTTTTCACACTGAAAGCATTTATGTGGCTTTATTATGTTTTTTGGGAAGCGTACATTATGCTTTCTTCCATCAGAGTACGCCATTCTGCTCTCTGAGCAGATAAATAGCTTATCTCCAGGGTGAATCCTTTGGTGCTGAACAAGGTCTGATTTCTCTGAGAAGCTCTTGCCACAGTCTGAACACCTATAAGTTTTCTCTCCTGCATGTGTTCCTTCATGTCTATGGAAGTCTGCTCTGCGATTCATGGTCTTTCCACACTCCAGGCATTGATAGGACTTCTTTCCACTGTGCATTTGTAAATGGATGTTGTATTGGGTTTGATCTGAGATATTCAATCTGCACTCCAAGTCCTTATCTGTTTCCTACACCATGTGAATGTCTTCTTGGAAATCACCTCCTTGGCAAGGGATGGGTTTACCCCTCTTCTTGACCATGTGGCTCCTTTTCTTCCTCTTTGGTCTTCCTTGATTCCTGAAGTTTCCCCTCACATCTTCGTTCTTGATTTCATCTGGTGATAGAGGATGCAGTTCCTCATCCTCCTCGTTCCTCTGATCATTCCCTATTGGAATAAAGAGATCTTGTTAGAACCCACGCAAGGAGGTCTAATCGGAACCTGAAGTTCCATCCACACTCCAAATATTTCAGTGGCTTCTTCCTGCTGTACACTGAAGTGTACAATAATATAAACTTTCAAAGTACATTAAGCCTCCTGCATCAGAGATGCTTGTTTGGGACTCTGACCATTTATAAGTCTCCCCACCGGAGTGACTTTTTTAGATGTGAAGTGTGAAGAAATGCATTTTTGGATGGAGCAAAACCTTCATTGTGAGTTTAAAAGTTTTTTCTCTCTGAGCAGACAGTAGGCAAGAGACAATGGGATAGTCAAGTTCTCTCCCCCACGCCCAAACAGGGAACAGAGATCTGGAGGAGTAAAGACTAGAAAGGCTTCAGGAAGAAACTCCTGGAGACTTCAGCAAACCTTCTTTGACCCAGCCTAATCAGTGGGAGGGGGAAAGAGAGATGACAAGACTCCTGAGAGAAAGGAGGAGGAGCTCTTTTGTGCTCATTCACTTGAGGGAGAGCTAGCTTTTGACTAAGGTCAGAAAAAGGCAGCCATTGCCACGTGCTGACCTACACTTGGGGAAGAGGCCTGAAGGTAATAGAACTCCTGCAAAACTTTCTAAACTAAGGAGCCTGCCTTATATTTAACAACTGATAGGGCATGTATAGAGGGAGGGACAGAGGAATGGTGTTTTACCCATTTTTTTTTATCCCTTGCTCAATCTGGTGCTGTGCTAAAAGAATGCTTATAAACATTTTCTTGTTAATAAATACTTTCTAACTTTTGATCCTGGTAGTGGTTCTCTGTACCACACAGACCTCCATCATCTTGAATTTGCTATTTTAAAAGAAGCCCCAGGGACGTACAAGGCAACAAGCTGTCCTCATGGTAAGGAGGCACTCAGTAGCAGGAGACGCAGAGGCAAGGCCTCAGAACTTGGAAAGGAAGCTGGGAGTCCTGACCCACTCAGAGGGCGATTACTACAAAGCTCAGGAGGTGGCAGTATTTGACCAGAAAAAGAGAGAGGGAAAAGTCCCTCCAGGTGCTGGGAAAACTTTAGAGGGCAGGGTGGAACAGGGCCTGCAGATTAGACAGGACCGTTCCGCCAGATGAAGTAAGGACTGTTTTCTCTATGGAGCTCTTTCCGCACTCCAAACAATTATACGGTTTCTCCTCTAAGGAAATTGGTGTCTGTGAAATGATGTTCATTCTCTGACTGAAGGTCTTTGCAAAGGCGACATTTTCATTTCCCTTTTCCCAGGAGTGAATTCTCTGGTTCACACGCAGGCCTTTTCCCCCTTCTTTTTTTGACTTACCTTTCTTCTTGGACTGGGATTTCAAGGAGATCCCCTCCTTGGCAAGGAATGGGCTTATCTTTCCTCTTACTTGCGTGGCTTTCCTCCTGCCTCTGTGGTTCGTCTCCATCTCTGAAGTTTCCTGCAGCATCTTCATTCTTAACATCTTCCAAAGAGAATCCTTGAAACTCCCCAGCTGTCTCCTCTACATCTGCTGCTGGAATAAAGAAAGAGTTTCCATCAGTGCTCAGGCAAGAAGCCAAGCCACCAGTCAGACCCTGCACATAAATGGGTGTGCAATTCCTTGGTCAGATCTTCTTTACTCTGAAACTCAGCTGCTGGTCAAGCCTTATCCCTGCCAGGCCCTCCTGTAGAGCTGATTTCATATTCTGCCTACTCCGCCCTTTCCCACCCCCCTCTGTACGTATGTCAAGGGAGAAAGTGGCTAAGATTTGTTCCCCGGCTGTTCCCACTTGCCATGCTGTGTGGCTCCTTTGATTCTCTGCTCTTGACAATTAAGTACAAGAAGTTACCAAAATATCTAGTCCTGCAACTACATAGAGAGCTGTCCAGTCCCCTTTTCACAGCGATAAATCCCATACACGTTTTAAGCAAAGTAGTATTTTATTAAAGCCATGATAGAGCAGGAGCAAGTTCACTGTCCAGAAAGCCTGGGCCAGGGTGGGCAAGGAATAATGTAATACATTCAAACAAAGCCATAACCAATAATCTCCATTCCTGCCGAGCGGGCAGACCTCGGTTTACGCGCGCAAAAGCCTGAGAAGCAACGTTCCCTAAAACCAAAACAATTACAGCTTCACACGGAACGGCTCATTATACAGTTAGCAAAGCATCTATCCCCACTCACCTGTTAATCTTGCAGATAAGTGTTGCCTAGCAGTAGCGGGACATGGAATGCATGGGAGCAGACTATACACAGGGGAAGGAAGGGCATGCGCAGATGCCCGGGGCGGCAGGGGCCTGACAGCTTCCCAATCTTCTATGGCAGCTAGCTGACAAGAGCATCCTTGTAGATTTGATGAGAGCCAAAAAGGAGCTGGTTTTCAGCCTCCCAAAAATACAGTGAGAAGCCAAGAGCTCATGAAGTGAACCCTACAGTTCAAAAGGGACCCTCCACGGTTTTAGAAGAGGTGCCATTTGTTAGGCGCTCAGGTAATGGACCAATGAGAAAAGCAACCCTGCAATGTAATCAGAGCCATTTTCTTGCCGTCTCTGTGCCATTCTCTGGGCCTTGGCTAATGCGCAGCCATGTCTGAATCAACCAGGCATTTCTGCCTTTCCTAGAAGCACAGAGTCAGCCTGTCTCTCTGGAAAGAAGTGTATCTTATGGTCAGCAAGAGATAGCCAGAAGGCTGGCTTACCGGGCCTCAAGGTCCTTTTGTGGTTACAAAATGTTATAGTAGTCCACTGGTGGACCTCCTGATGGCACTGGTATTTCTGGCCACTGTGTGATAGAGAGTGTTGGACTGGATGGGCCTTTGGCCTGATCCAACATTGGCATCTCTTATGTTCTTATAGTAGAGGAAGGCCCTCTGGAAGTCCACTCTAGAGGAACAGACACTCTAAAGTCCAGACACAACCTCAGAAGATATCCATTTGATCAGCACGACCAGGGTGATGGGATGTAAGCCTGGTAAAATTCGTTTGGGAGAACCTTAGAGCAGCACAGCATCGTCATCTTTGTGAACCCTCTTCCCTGGGGACGGGGGAGACAGTGCCGGCCAGCCTCGGAGACACCCGCGCTGATCGGGGCACACTGATCTGTCAGGGATACCTGCCTTTCTTCTGTGTGTGCGCCTGTTTTTCTGTGGCAGATCCTTTCCTGCCTCAAGGGGGTGGAAGGGAATTAGCCCTTGGGAGGGAGTTCGTCGCTGACCTCTTGGGGAGACGGGAGGTGGCTGCAGTGCTTTCTCTATCCTGTGTTGTGGTTCAACCCACTGTGCTTCAGCTGAGAGCTTGACTGGGTTTACTGGGTTGATAGAGTCAGTGGGAATCTCTTCAGGAGCGCATGATCCTGCCCCCTTGGGGTGAGGACTGATCCCCCTCACCAGAACAGAGGGTGTTGTGCGGTTTGGCGGAAGCCAGTTCCTCTTGGGCTGCAGTGTTCACTGGTGGGACTACCGAGGTAGAACAGCTCCAAAGAAAGTACTTACACCCATCTCCCCCTAAGAGATGAAGGCATCCAGGAGACAGCAGAAGGGTTGATGCTCCTTTGGCCTCATCCAGCAGGGCTGGTCTTAGGTACCCCCCCCCTTCCCTCAAATATCCAATATATAGGATAGTGCAGCCCCTCAACAGCCACAGCTGAGCTCAGCCCTAGAAGGAGCTCCCAAATCTCCACATCCCAGGCCCAGAAGGCCTCCTTCCCTCCATCCCTAGCGGGCTAGATCCTTCGGCCAAACCAAGAGTCGCTCAGAAGTGAAGAGGAAAGGTCCCCTGCTATTCCTTGTCCATTCCCTTGACATAACCGTGAAGGATTCTCACTAGCAGGCAGCTCATTTGGGAAAGACTCTCTTGAGATCGTCCTGTGAAACTCTCCAGCCATTCTATGGACAGAAGGCCTTCCTCTCTCTCCACCCTAGTCTCTCTTACATTCCTGACTTCTTTGGCACAGAGAGAGAGACAGACAGAGAGAGACAGACAGACAGAAAGTGATCGTTCTTGTATGGGGAAAGAAAGAAATCCAAGGAAGAGGAAAAAATTGTCTGGAAGGATGGAAACATGCTCATAATCAAAGCCCCAAATCCCAACCAGTATGATGAAGGTCTGAGCGCATGCCCATCTGGTGCAAGGGCATGTGGTTGAGGTTGGCAACTGAGTAATTGGGATCTCGCCCCTTCCAGAGGTACTCTCAGCCCCACCTTGGCCACAGGCCAGGACACCCTCTCTGGCTTGGGTGAGGGCCACAACAATGGCCTCAGTTGCCCCTGGATCACCCAGGAGGCTTGGATTGCTCTAACCAACCACGCTGAACATCACTTTCACTTCTACCCCAAGTCCTGGAGCCCTCCAGTGGTGAGGGACAAGAAGCTGGGCAGGCCTCACAACCACATACTGCTTTTCAATTATTTTGATTCATGCATCATCCCAACAGCAGCAATTGGCACCTTTGGCACCTATGAAGGATCCTTACCCAGGGAGGCCACATGCCCATAATTCTCCAGCATGACCTCCCTATAGAGTGTTCTTTGGCTCAGATCCAGCAGGGCCCACTCAGCCTCGGTGAAGTACACGGCCACCTCCTCAAAGGAAAAGGGAGACTGAAAGAAGAAGCAGATTCCCTCGTCACAGACCACGCCAGGCAGAGACGACACTCTCAACAGGGGCATTCTGGGAGGGCGCAGGAGGCAGAGCTTGCTATGTGTAAAGGGAGTTGCTTTCAGAGCTTCTCTTGCTCAGACAGGTGGAGCAAAGGCGTTCCTGTGAGAGGAGCGGGGCCTGACTGTCCCCCGTCCATCCCCTCCTACCTGGACCAGAGGAGGAGCAGATCTTTGCGCTCCACTGTGAAGACGACAGCTCGACAACACCTCTTCACCGCCTGCAAGGGAGACAAAATTGGAAGGGTGAATTTCAGTCTCAACCTTTTATACTGTTAAATGTATAATGATTTTTAACAAAAACTATGGGAGAGGTGGGAATAAACTATGAGAGAGGTGGAAGAGAAGCACCAGGTACCCATGCGACTTGAGGGGGCGTTTAGGTCAGCTAACGTTCTGGAAACGTTAGGGTCATAACAATGGGGTTCCAGGGCATCTGCAGATGATCTGACTTCAAATCCAGGTACTTGGCTAGAGGACACGTCAACAGGACATCATGTCCGTCCCATGCTCCACCCTCAAACCTCATGGGTGGTTTGCCATTGCCTGCCTCTGCGTAACAACCCTGGACTTCACTGGTGGTCTCCCATCCAAGTCCAAACCAGGGCTGACCATGCTTAGCTTCTGAGATCTGATGAGACGGGGCTAGCCAGGGACATTCAGCTCAGGGGAACACAGAGGTTCCATTTATTGACCATGGCTAATAGTTGCACCCAGGGCTTTTTTTGTAGAAAAAGCCCAGCAGGAACTCAGTAGCATAACAGGCCACACCCAACAGCAGAAACTCATTAGCATATTAGGCCACAGCCCTGACAGCACAGCTCATTAGCATATTAGGCCACACACCCATGTTACCAGAAGTGTGGTCATCCAGCCACGCCCACCTTTGGCTTCTTATTCTGTTTACCTTGTTTGTGGTCAAAACCCAGGGCTTTGTTTGTAGCAGGAACTCCTTTGCATGTTAGGCCACACACCACTAATGTAGCCAATTCTAATGCGTTTCTGCTGTTGGGTGTGGCCTGTTATGCTAATGAGCTCCTGCTGGGCGTGGCCAACTCGGGAGCCAGTCGGAACTCTGTCTCCTGTGTGTTCCTGCCCAAAAATAGCCCTGGCTGCACCCATTAGCCCCCCTGGAAGCATTTACAAATCCTAATTTAATCACAAATAATTTAATGAGGAGATATGAAGAATTATTACACAGTAAGAATGATCTAAAAACACAAGAGATGTTGCAGAAACAAGATGCAACTTTAACATGGTGGGAAAGAATCCAATTGGAATCCAGATATGCCAAAGATAAACATATGGGTTTCTATGAAAAACAGATAGAGTTAGATAAAATACTATTGAATACAGAAGAAAAACTTATTAAAAAGTTATATACGGTACTATTAGACTTGAAGATGCAGGACGAAGTAGTTAAAGTGTCAATGATCACTTGGGCACAAAGCTTAGGATATAATATTGATCTCGATCAATGGTCTAGAGTGTGGAAAGCCAATATAAAATATACTAAAGCTGTTTCTTTCAAAGAAAACCTTTACAAGATGTTTTATAGATGGTATATGACACCTGATAGATTGGCTAAATATTACCCTAACATGTCAAATCTATGCTGGAAATGTAAGCAAAAAGTTGGATCTTTTTATCACATTTGGTGGACATGTAATAAAAGTAAAAAATATTGGGTTGGGATACATGGAATGTTACAGCAAATAATAGGAGTTAATGTACCTTTTAAACCAGAAATCTTTTTGTTAAATGTAATACCAGAACAATATAAAAAGCAAGATTGTTATATGATTACTCATATCGTAACTGCAGCCATAATTTTATATGCTAGTGTGTGGAAAAAAGAAGATATACCATCAAAGGAAGATTTGATCTACAAATTGATGGAAACAGTCGAAATGGACAATTTAACTCTATTACTACAAGGAAGAAGAGACAACATCTTTAAAGACGTATGGTCAAGATTCTACAAGTGGATTGAGAGCGTCAGCTAATAGCTGCACCCACATTTCTCTTCCTTTCCTTTTTTGAGCCACCTTGAGTCCCTCTAATGGAAGGAAAGTGAAATACAGAATTTTTAAGTAATGTAATTAAGAATGGAATTGCCTTCCATGAATCTGTCTATTTGCCCTTCAAGTGAGTGGCGATCGCTGCTTCCTGCAAGTCCCAGAAGTTGAGTCTGCATCGTGAGCAGAAGGATTCCCTTTTTCTCCTGCCCCAAACCTTCTACCCAATGACTTGACAAGGTGCCCCGATCCCGTTCGGGCAGGAGGCACCCTTACCACTTGACACGGCATCTTGGGCACGCTTCTGGGCCTGCACCCTCTGACTTTCCTCTGACAGAGCTCCTTCTGCCTCACAGAACTTCGCTTCCATCTTTACAGCTGGTCCCAACATCTGAAACAACAGTAAGGGAGACTAGGAAGAGAAAAAATGGAAGAGGCTGAGGAGACGGATCCTGCCCCACTCCCAGACTCCTCATCTGTGCCTTGACGAGCAGAGCTGGTTCAACCACAGGGCCAAGAACCAAGGTTGGGTTTTCTTCCCAGCCTAGTGAATTCTCTACCAGTATAAATATCTGGAAGGGAAGCCTCAGGATAAGGTCATTGCTGGAACTGAGGAAAGGAAACCCCCTCACCTGCTCTGCCTGCCTCTTCTCCTCTGCCTGACTCAGGAGGAAGCCTTCAGCCAGGGCCACCGCCTGGGAACTGGTCTCTGGCTCACATCCTCTCACCCAGCACTGCACTTCCTGGGGCAGGATGGCCAGGAACTGCTCCAGGATCACCAGGTCCAGGATCTGCTTCTTGGTGTGCCTCTCTGGCTCCAGCCAGTGGCTGCAAAGTCTATGGAGCTGGCTGCAAACCTCTCGGGGTCCATCGGTTTCATGGTAGCGGAACCGCCGGAAGGTCCACCAAGACAGCTAACAAATTAAAACACAGGTCAGAAAGACTACATGTTGTAAGTATTCAAAGCCCCTGAGAGTAATTAACTGAGGCCCTGCATTAAGCTTGAGAGAAGACAGATGGAGCATTACAACAGGGTCTCAGTGAATTACTCTCAGCATTCCATAATTAAGAATACATCTGTCCATCCTTTGTGCTCATCCAAATATTGTGTAATTCAGTTTGGCTTGCATATATACCCTCTTTTTTATCTTTTGCCCATCTTGAAATAAGTTGGTTTTTTTCCCACCAAGTCAAATTAGTACCTTGCTCTTTTAAGAGTTTTTCCGAAATTAACTCTCCCTTTGAATCTAAAAGGTCCTCATACCTCCATCTTGGATATTTAATATAAAGCGATGGTTTAACGAAGGCTTCTATGGGAGAGAGCCATCTGGGTAACTTTATGTAATATTTTACTTTTATCTCCTCCCAGATTTTATACAGTGCCATTCTAATAGTATGTTGTCTAAAAGGAGTAGCCGGCACGTTTTTATTATACCACATAAAGAAGTGCCATCCCATCTGTAGATCATGTCCCTCAAGACTCAATAGTCTTTTATCATCTTGTACAATCCACTCCTTTATCCAATTCATAGCCGCAGCTTTATAATAAAGAGCCCAATCTGGGAGAGCTAAACCGCCTCTATGTTTTCTTTCTTGAAGATATTTTAACTTTATTCTTGGCCTTTTTTGTTGCCAAATAAAATCCTTTACTAACTTTTCGAGTTCTTTGAAAAACATTTGATTTCTTAAAATAGGGATAGTTTGGAACAAAAAAAGGATACGAGGTAAAACGTTCATTTTTATCATTGACACTCTCCCCAACAAGGAGATATGCAAACCTCTCCATATTTCTAAATCCTTTTTTATTTCTAAAATTAGTTTTTTATAGTTAGCCTCAAACAAAGAACAACATCTGTTTGTCAGTAGTATGCCTAGATATTTCACCTTCTTTTCTGTCCATCAATCTCCAATTTTGATATGTTTATCCCCCCCCCAGAATTAAACCCCCGCAAAATGGCAACCATATAAACCCAGCTTGTTATTTCTGTTATTCCTGGAATCTGTTAAACATCTTCATTATGCTGTGTGCTAATTTGCCGCTCACCCTCTACCTCTATGTATGGCCTGGTAACTTCCATTTCAATGTATCTGAAGCAGCCTGCAGGCACACGAAAGCTTTGACTTTGAATAAAAACTTTGTTGGTCTGTTAGGTGCTGCTGGATTGGAATTTTGTTCTGCTGCTTCAGACAAACAGCGCTCCCCACCTGGATCCATACAGGACAGCCAACATTCCTCTTTTCTGAGATTTCAGAGTTTATCCCTCCCCTCTCCCCGGGTCTTACCTGCGAGTAAACCTTTTCCCGGCTGCTACATATCTAAAGCCCACAACAGGAAAAGAGCCTTTCTACTTTCCCGCCCCCCCTTCCCCCGGCTTGGACTCTCTAGCAAACAGTTCTCTTGGTTTAACACTTTCAGGACTGCAGACGAAAGAAAAAGGCTTTTTTGTCTTTTCCCGTAGGAGCACCGCCCAGACCGGGACAGAGCGGACTTCAGCCAGGTATTGTAATTCCTGTAAGTTGACAACCTTGGTGGTTGGCAACCATACATTGTAAATTTTGCAAGCAACCTTATATTCTTATAAGTTGGCAACCTTCCATTATAATGAATCAGGGTAAGTCTTTGCAGCATCAGTACTGGTGTTGGGATGAGTTAGCATAAAGGTTTTGTGAGAGAACATGTACCTAGTAAGGCATTATACAAGCACTTTGCCCTAGGAACAATCCAGAGATTCTTCACATAATATTGTTATTGCATATGATTTATTAAGGCTTTCATCCACTTTCGGAAGAAGAATAGTATTGAAACGATAGAACATTCCGGAGACCATCGTCACACCATTTTCTACTGCCTTGTGCATTTATATATGTAGTTTTTTTGTACACATTTTTGTATGAATCTTGTGATTGTTATTTAAATATTTACTAGCGCAGTTACCTCACAGTTTCTTCTTCTTTTTTCGGTCTGTTCTGTGACTGTGACCATAATTTTTGAGCTTGTAATAAAGCCAAAAAAATTTGGACACAAATTCATTTCCTGATGCAGAAAACCCTGAAGAGTAATGTCCATTTTAAACCAGAGGCTTTTTTGTTGGGAATAATGGATAAACAGGTAGAAAAAAGACATGGCACTCTGTTTTTATATAGAACAATGCCAGCAAGACTTTTATATGTTTAGAAGGGGAAGAGTCCAATATTGCCTACAACAGAGAAGTGGATTGTAAAGATGACGGAGTTAGCCGAGATGGCGAAACGTACTACATTGATTAGAGAGAAGACATTGCCCACGTATATAGCAAACAAGAAACCCATTACTGACTTTCTGCAGGAAACTCGGGGAAAGAATGAAATGATGAGTTCTTCTGGTTTTGAAGACTAAGAGGGGAGAAAGCAGTTAAAACAAATGAGAAGTTTTACTTGGATGACAGGATTACAATTGTGACTTCTGTGCTTATGCCAATATTTGTCATGGAGAAATTCAAAAGTGTTTTCTTTCTCTTTCTTCTTCCACTTTCTTGCTTGCTTGCTTTTTAATTTTCTTCTCTTCCATCCCCCCCCTCTTTTTTCACTATTAAAACCCCTTCGTATATTTTTTTAAAAATGCAATCCTAATTCCATGATTTATTGATTTATTTTTGGCTACATGTGTTTGTGAGCGTACATTACTTAACTTTTACAAGTCTTTGGGACCCAAAAATGTTTTTTTAAACAACAACACAGGTTTTTCCCCCCCTGCAAACTAGAAGATTCCCCTATGTGCAGATATTACTTTAGACTTTTATAAGTCTTTGTGCCCTCCCAATCTTGCTTTTAAAACAAAAGCAAGAACTGATCTTTTTCCAGCATGCCATGGAATAAAAACCCTTGTGAATTAAGTGTCGTTATCTGAGATGGCACCAATAGCTCTTCTGAGCACCATTTCTCACGTGTCACCTAAGAAGTCTATGTTTCAAGAAAGTGAGCAAGACCCCTGCCCAGTGGTGCCTGTGGTTTGCAGTTGGTTCCCACCTCAAGAGCACTGTCAGCAGAGGAACAGAAAAGCTTTAAGCCTTCCTGAGGTACAGGCCTCATGCCTGGCATGAAACTCACAGTAGTACTGCAAAAAGCTCTGGGACCCATACAGGCACTTCAGGAAAATATTCTAGAAGTGAAAACGTGGAGATCTCGTTTTAATAATAAAGGTGCAAGAGTTCCATGTTTTCACTTCTAGAATATTGTTCTGGAGTGCCTGTCATACATTCCAGTGCTTTTTGTGGTACTACTGTGAGTTTAATGCCCATTCCAGGGAGTTCTGGAGGCATTTTGGCCTGGAAAGGGTTCATAAAGGTGTGAGAGTTCCACGTTTTCACTTCCAGAATACTGTTCTGAAGTGCCTGATTTTTTGCGGTACTACTGTGGGACCCAAATTCCAGAGAGGTCTTGCTTCCTTCCCCGGGTGGGTCCCACTCAGATCTATTTGCTCCAATTTCTGTTTTTGAATTCAAGCATCTCTTTGGGATTCTTCTCCCCCCCCCCCAAAGAACATGATGCATTCTTCAGGGTCACGACCAGTGAAGAAGTTGTATCAGGGTGAGATGATGGCTCTGGGGATGTGTAATGTATCCAGTCCAGACCGCGTGGCCGACTTGGGCTCCACGCGGTCAGGCACAAACGTCGAGCTTCGCTCCAAGAGACAATGGACTATGCGGATCCTAGCCCGCTGCAATCAGGGGGCTAGATTCCCGGCCGAGAGCCTATGGGACTCTCGGCCATTGTAAATAACCTATTGAGAAGTGGGGGGCTGTTTTGGGTGGCGGTTTCTCGGGGAATATAAGCCGGCCTGCAAGCCGGCCAAAGTCGACTTGTTCCTGATCGAATAAAGTACGCTTTGCTGAAATCACTCTCCGTCTGAGTACTTTTCAGGATGAGTATAGAGTACAAGTGTGGGGGAGGGGGGAATATGTAGCACGCCTGAAAAAATGATCTGAATTGATTCATTCAAGCTTCTGGGAGGCTCCTTCGGCCACTGTTAAAAGCTGTTAAAAGCACAGACCAGTTGGCATGATCATACTGAGAAACTGGGGGGGGGAGACCTCGGTTCAGATGTCTCCCTGCCTGTTAGCTCAGGAGTGAACTTGAGCCAGCTGCCCCCTCTCGGGACTGGAAGAGCTCTTGACTGAGCTCATCTTTTGGGGCTGGGACCCATCAGAGTCCCTTGGAGATCTGTTTGGATTCCATTTTGATCTCACCCTTTGTAATGTATCCATCTCAGACCGCGTGCGCGGCCATTTCGCCACGCGGTCAGGCGAAGCGACCGAGCTTCGCTCTCAGTAACAATGGGACAAGCAGATCCTAGCCGGCACCTATCGGCAGGCTAGGCTCCTGGCCGAGAGCCAATGGAATTCTCGGCCACTGTAAATAGCCAATCACTTGTGTGTGGGTGTGTTTGGGGAGCGTGGATTGTGCACACATAAACCAGCCTGCGAGCTGGGTACTCTCGTCTTGTTCTGAGCTGAAATAAAGTATGAGAGCTGAAATCACTAGTAAGTCTCAGTACTTTTCACCCTTCCTGCTAGGAGCAGAATGTGTTTTATGCGCCATTATCCCTTTTCTCCTTGTCAGTCAGGTTGAGAGAAGACAACTGGCCCCGCGTCATGGGGCAAGTGGAGATTCGAACTGACATCTCCAGAGAGCTAGACAAAAGTGCTGTTCTGTCTGCTGCCCCAATCTGATGCGCCGTTCAGCCGCCTCCTGCACCAGAAAGGACTTTCAGCTTGGTTCTGTCTGCTCCAACAACCAGACGGGCCCTTCAGCTCCCGCTTGCTCCACAAGAGGTCATCGTTCCACACCTCTTATATTAAATCACTTCTTTGGAAATCAGCAGATGAAGTGCGTCTGCCAATTATTTGTCTGCTGCAGCTACCCATCCCCCCATTTCCCTCCAGCTGTTGTTCTGGATGCACAAAAACACACATCTGGAACTCTGATCAGAAAGGCAAGGAGGAGTTGCAAAATAAGGGCGGTGTGTGTGTGTTTTAATTCTGTCACTGCCACAAATGGAGTCTTCCCGATGAAAATTACATTCAGTCATCCAAATTGTTGACAGGTTGTTGTTGTTTTTTGAACAGCGATACATGTAGATATTATTTGGCCTGTCTATTGGGTTCATAAGTCTAGCTATGTTGTCAGTACACACCTATCCATCTTTGCTGTATGAACACAAATGGCTACAGAAAGGAATGGCTAGACTATGATGTCTAGTGGTTAGGGTGTTAGGGATGCCCGCCTCCAGGT